TTTTTTTTGAGAGGTTTTTGCTATAGGGCGCGTGCGCTCGCCAGACAGAGACATAGAGACAGAAAGTGAGAAATTACCCCCCCGGGGGGATGGTCACGCTGCAATCCCTTCTCCATTCTCCTCTCAGGATCTTGGGCACGCACACACTCACGCATGGTGTGAGTTTTAAGCCACCGGGTCTGGGATGTGAACTGTGGTCAACTATGTGGGAGTCCAGCGACATAGCCATTACGCTAACTGCTGGTTCCCTGTCCTCCTTTTCATGTGATTAAAAGAGCCTGGCCCTGCCATGGTGGCACACACTGCTAAGATGCTGTGCGCCGTAGGCTGGGACCACATGGAGGAGTGAAGGTTGGGCATGATGGCAAGCACATCACCCCAGTGACTTGGGAGGCCGGGGCAGGAGGGCTGTGACACCGAGAGATGCCGTGTAGAAAACATAACCAAACTGAGGCTGTTTCATATGTGACACCAGAAGTTGCTGGATATGCCATACCTATTACTCGACAGGCTGTGTTCACAGACCAGACTCTGGCTCTGATGGACACTGACGGGCTTGCGAGGGTTTTCTGACTACCCTGGCTGCATCAGGTGCACCGATGTCACAGCAAGGCTTTGCGTGAGGCTCTGCTGCGGTTCAGTGTTTTCCTCAATCTGAAGAATGACTGGACTGTGCTGAAAACATGGCTGTGGGTGAGCGGGCTTCAAAAGCTTCATGTGTGGATTTCAAATGTTTGAGGGCACCACAATAAACTCATAATTAAATTCCATTTTCCCATGAGCTTTTTTTTTTTTTTTAATAAACTGTGAGGGTGCATTCAGTCAAAAAGTTGGGGGAGAGCATTCCTAATGGGGGACGGTCACTCAGCGACCTCTCTGTCCGGTCATAATTCTCGGCACGTGTGCGTGCGCACACACACACACACACACACACACACACACACACAAGCCTGGTGTGTTTTTCAAGCTGTGGGTGCTGAGGCTCTAGGATCTGGCTCCCTCAGCCAGTAGACTACGGGGCTGGCCCCTAGGAGCTCTGTGAAGTCCCCTCATGTTCACGATGAACCCACCCATCCTATCCCACTGGTTCTTTCAGGCTCACCACCAAAGGCAGAGACAACGTCAGAGGGAGGTTCTGTAACAGCACAAGCTTCCAACAGAGCAGAATCCTGAGTCCCACCATCCGTTTATTTTTCACGTGAAGGAGGCCTCGGAAGAGAGGTCTGAGGAGATGTGTTTAAATTAAAACGGCGCACTGGCAAGGAACGCCCTTTCCAGAGGTCCTAAAGCAGAGTGCACAGACTGAGACAGTGACTTCAACCATGGCAGTCTGGTCCCTTTTTGCCTGGCCCTCACAGGTTCCGCAGCCGCTAACTGGGTCCTCAGCACTCCCGTTTCAGGAACTGGTGAGGGTCTCTTCTTTCGACTGCTGGAAACCACAGAACTCTTGGATTCCTGGAAACAGACAGACACAGAGTGCTGACCGCACGTCTGTCCCCTGGGCGGCCCTATCCCAGGGAGGAGGGCTGTATCTTGACCGTGCAGAAGCCCTTAGCAGCCTAATTTCCTAAAAAGCTCCATTTCTGAGACCCTGAATCTGGAAGTGACAGGCCCCTTGGGGCTGCCGTGGCTATCATGGACAGCTGGAGGCTTGACGGGCACGAGCTGTGATGGAGCTGTCCAGTGTGGCTGCTACCCGACACCGTCCGGCTCGGCAAATAAACCCCGCCGCAAGCCACGGGGCCAAAGCCGTAACTAGTGATGCCTCGGCCTTAGACCTGCGGCCTCTGGACCTGCCTGCACACGCCTCTGGATGGTTCGACACGGCTTACTTCTGTTTTTTCACTGAGTCTTAAGCTACGAATTAGTTTAGAACATCAACACAGGGGTAGTAGACTTCTCATGGACTGTCACTGTGGTCATCCCAGACCCCACCACCACCCCGTCTGCACCCACGGCTATCGGCAGTGGCCATTCTGACCCACACAGAGGCCTCACTCCCAGCCTGCTTGCTCCTTCATGCTGCTTCCCGGCTCCTTAGGTATCTGGGTCTGACACTCGCTGCAACACTTACTCTGGATTATACTTCTGTAGGCTAACGTGGCTGGTGAGTCAGGTGCTTCAGTAAAAAAAGACTGGCCTTTGTCACAGCTCTTTCCTTAAAGAATGAAAGAAAATTAAATCCATGAAGAAAACACCATGGTAACAAGATACTGGGGCTCTTTTGTGCCAGGGACAATCTGAAGGCCTCAAGCCTGCTCATTTGTAATGAAGAACAAAGCTAAGGAATGTGGGGGCAGGGGAGTGCTAACTAGCCCGTGGCTACAGATCACCTGGGTCGTGTGGCAAATGCAGGTTCCAGGGCCCCACAAAGAAGTGGTTCTGTAGCTCCCAGGTGGGCCCAGGAGTCTGCATTTTAAGAGACTGACCAGTTCTGGGCCAGCAGGTGGCATAGTTCTCACCTGGCCAACCGCCGTTTGTGTCCCAGACCCGGCAGCTTGAAAATCATGCTGGGCACGTGTGCACTTGAGTCCAAAATCCCGAGGAGAAGGGATTGCAGTGTGGTCATCCTCCCAGGGGGGTGATTTCTTACTTTCCCACTCTCTGTCTCTCTCTCTCTCTGGCAAGAGCGCTCACCCTGACAAAAACCTAAAACAAGCAAAACCCCTGACCTCGACCAGTTCTTTGTGTAAGAATATAATACACATTATAACGAGTATGGAATACAAAAGGGCATTCCATGAAAAGTGAGTGCAAATAGGCCACTCCTGTTTTAGGCGTCTTTCCAGAAACGCTGCACCACAGCAACACAGCACGTACACACTCGTGGGTCTGCTTGCAGGAGGGGGCACGCCATGTACATCCTGCCTGTTGCTTTTTGAGTACACATGCATCTCCAGGGCCGGCCATGTCGGCACCGACTGCCTGACAGTCTTTCTGGCCGCACGGGCGTCAGCTCCAGTCCCCCCTGTGCACTCACGGGTTGCATACATGTAGCTCCGGCATGAGCATGACGTGGGGCCTCGGGCCATTCTGGGCAGGTGCCTCAACTCCTGTCTGCTCCACTGACCCCAATCCGGGTCGCTCCACCGACACAGGCTTGCTCTGCCTCCTCCCCGGCCTGGGCACTGCTGGAGACGGGCCATGCGAGTGCACTGCCCACAGCTACTTCCCAACCCCAAGTGGACCTGGGCAAGGTCAACCTGGTACGTGTCATTTCCTCGACTCCCCTGCTATGCTGCCCTATGGGGTCGGGAAACCCACATGAAGTCCTGTGGTTTTAATGCCCCCCCATCTGTGTGTTGGAATTTGTCTGTGATTGTGGTGATATTAAGGGGGTTAAAATTTAATCTGACTACAGCATTAGGAGGTGGAGCCTTTGGGACTGGGATTAGTTAGGGTCATCAGGGTGGCTGCCATGACTGAATCCCGGTGGCCTTTAAGAAGACAGGGAAAGGCTAGAGATGCATGCTCATGGCCTCTCATCACGTGATGCCCTGCACTGCCTGGAGACTCTTCGGAGTCCCCACCCGCAAGCAGGCCCTTGCCAGATGGGGCCTCTCGACCTCGGGCTTCCAGAATCACGAGCTGAGCACCGCTGTCATCCATAAATTACCCAGTCTGTGGTGTCCAGGCATAGCCACAGAGATGGACACAATCTGAGGGAAGGAGCCTGTGGGAGAGGCCGGGTGGTGGGAGAGCCCAGCTGGGCAAGCCCTGAGTGCACATGTGCCAGGCAGGCCTGGGAGGTGGGGTCCAGAACAGTCGTGGGGGCGCTGCTCTGCTCCTGACTTTTACCTGGTGTTCTTTGCTTCTCCAGTCCCCCCTTACCCCACAGGGGTCTCCCCACACCCCAACACACCACGTTCTCATCCAACAAAACCTCCCCCATCCTCCCTGCTCCAAGGACAGGTGGGATTATCGGGACAACGGGTCATTTGGAGCATGGCCCTGATCCAAGACTTCCCAAGCATCCTTGTTAATCTTTGTAGGTCCCTTGCAGCTGGTACTGTCATCCCCATTTTACAGACAGGGCCATGAAGGCTGAGATGTGACAGGACGTGCCCAAGTCCCACAGTGGAGAAGCCAGCAGTGGGCGGGCAGGAGTCTGAGGCCAGGGTGTCTGACCTCCAAGCCTCAGTGTGTGTGTCTGATGGAGAGGGCTGGATCCAGGGCCAGGGAGGTGGCATCTGCTCTTCTTTGCCACTACATTCCCAGGAGGGGCTGAAGTGTGAGCCCTCACAGCCTCTTGTCTGTTCTGGAGTTGGCTCACTTGGTCCTGTGACCTTGCCAGACGTGTGGCTGTCACTCGCCCTCGCCCTCGCCCTCCAGCTCTCTGGGTTTGGCCTGATATCTACCACCCTGCCCTCTCTGAAACCCTTGGGTTTTTCTTATGGGTGGCCACATCTTTTTTTTTTTTTTTTTTTGAGAGATTTTCACTGTAGGGCGCGTGCGCTCGCCAGACAGACAGAGAGAGACATAGAGACAGAAAGCGAGAAATCACCCCCCAGGGGGGATGGTCACACCACAATCCCTTCTCCTCCATTCTCCTCTCGGGATCTTGGGCACGCACGCACACGCGCCCGGCGTGAGTTTTAAGCCACCGGGTCCGGGACACGAACCGCGGTCGACTACGTGGGAGTCCAGCGACATAGCCATTACGCTAACTGCTGGTTCCCATGGGTGGCCACATCTTGAGGCACGGTCCTGGGAAGTGTCCTGTCACGCAGAACGGTGCCACTTCTCTCCACTCACAAGCCCCCGCTGCATTGTCTCCTTTGTATACCCTGGGAACCATGGGGGACTTTGCTTCTGTGGGAGAACCACCCTGAAGGAAAGGCTGGGCCAACGCCAGGCTGGGCGTGAGGCAGGTGGGGAGAGCTGGGGAGGTAGCCCCTTTTAGGACTAAAGGAGGCCCAAGGTGCCCTCCTGATCTTTGTCATGCCATGACAGGCCTACAGGCTGAAGGGCCCAGAAGCGTCAGGTGGGGTGGCCCGCATGGAGTGAGCTGCCATCACGTAGTGACCAGGGACCGGGCAGATGGAGAAACCAGTAACCCTGCAACTGTGGCGGCCGTGGGACAGTCCTCCTGGACCGCCCATGGCAGATGCTATGCTCCCAAAACCACATCCACATTTGTGCCAGGACCTTCACCCCCG